GCCATGTCCCTCAAGATAACCTTCACATCAAAGCACACACTTCACCTCATCAACCGTTACACTCATATTGAAGTGTACTTTACTGGTCCTGCCCAGCACTGTCCATTAGTACGTAAGCTACTCACAACAGCTATTGATAATAGCAGTGATGCTATGCACCTCAAGCATAATTACATCAATGCATTTGCTTGCCCTAACAATGAGAGCTGCTATTGCATTGTAAATGAAGATCACCATAAAGTAGCTGATTGTACAGTTTGTGGTGAATCTCCTGCTCTTAGCAATGACTACTGGACCTGGTTTGATGATGCACAAAGTATGTGTATACTAATAATTATTATTTATAATTTATTACTTGTGTATAGGACCTGTTGAGAGTAACAATGGAACACAAACAAAACAAGATGATGATCAGTTACTAAATGATAGTAAGGAATTGTTACATTTATCATTATTATTATACATTACTATTATTTTACTACAGACCTCCTGTTAGACAAGAAGCCTCAAAAGAGTGACCTCCTTAGGTTGTTCAATAGTTTTGCTGCCCATTACATGATCATTGGGACTGCACTTGATGTTCAAGTGAATGACCTGTTACCTACTCCAGGGGCTGCTACTACTAACCTCATACTAATGTTTGAGAGATGGATAGACTCCAATAAAGGAGTGACCTGGAGGACTATCCTAAAAGTTTGTAAAGATTATTCTGATCTTAAGAAGGCAGAGGCTGAAGTCAAGCAGTTCCTTTCATCACCCACTGCCCATTCACTTTATGATCCCCTACCTGATGAGAGTAAGAGTATCGTTCCATCACCCACTGTCCATTCCCTACCTGATGAGAGTAAGAGTATCGTTCCATTACCCACTGCCCATTCCCTACCTGATGAGAGTAAGAGTATCGTTCCATCACCCACTGCCCATTCCCTACCTGATGAGAGTAAGAGTATCGTTCCTTCACCCACTGTCCATTCCCTACCTCATGAGAGTAAGAGTATCGTTCCATCATCCACTGGAGCTCATGACGATTATTTCAAATTTTTTCCTAGTAAAAGTCATGCTTTTGTTTTCATTGCTTCTTTGATATTAGTATTTGTTGCTATTTTGATATTTTGTGTTAGAAGCCACACTTTTTCATTATTTTAAATTAGTAATAACTTTCTTTCATTTTAAAATAGCCACACGGCATGGATATATGGGCCTATAGAATATTCTTTGTAAATATATATACATTTTGCAGAAACCTGGGCCAATTTCTGCATATACAATGTACATGTAAATGAGAAGCAGTCATTAGACAAAGGCTCATACAACTTAAAGGTTTATTATAATACATGTATAAATCATCTTTATAGCAAAAAAATTCATATTCGAATTCTCTGCTAGATACTTTCAGTGCAATGAAAGTCAAAAATAGTTTACATGCATCAGGAAATCTAAACAATGAAGGCAATGGACTATATTTAAAATAATAATCACAAAAATTAGATGATAACACATGTACATTAATGATCATTTCATTGTATTAGCAATATTTCCATATGTGGTATATATGATTTGAAGCCATGCCCCTGACTCTACCCATCACTGATTAGTTTTAGGATAGGTTTCTATGACGTAGGTAGTACGAGTGAAGTAAAGCTGTGGGTCTGTGAAACCTGTTGATTGAAGAAGAAAGAACAATTCATCAACTGTACGGAGATGAGAATGTGACGGATTGAATGGCATCATAGTGAGATCAAGAAATGACTAACTGAAACAAAAATAGAGAGAAAGAGGAGGAAAAGAAAAATAGATTCAAGCATGTACATGTACATACGGTTTGGTCAAACATTGTGCTCTGAAACACATAATATTGTGTTTTAGCATAGATATTATAGACTACGTAACCAGGATTGGAAACTAGCTCACGTGATCCATTCAAACCAGTACAAACCGGCTGACACAGGGTACGTGATTGGATTTTGGTGGGTGTGGTCAAAAAATGGCTACTCATTGACGACATTCAAAGGAAGATTGTATTTAAACCAATGGTGATTTTTTGTTATTTTAATAATATTTCAATACTTTAGTGTTTGTGTAATATGACTATAATGAAAAAAATAATGATACCATTGTTATTTTGCAAATATACTGTGATATTGTTCAAATTT